AGCTCGTCTGTTACCTCGACTTCTTTGCCGTGGGGACGAGACTCGGGTGCCCGACGATTATCCAAAGTTATAGCCGACTCCGCCGTCGCTATCCTCAAAGTTCGCTTGAAGGTTGCTCCACCAGGGTCTAGGTCGTTCCACGTTTGGCGGTGAATATACGGGTCTCAACAATGACCAGGTTCCTGCGTTGCCTTATTCATGGAAAATGCCTTCGATGCAGACCAAAAATCGTCAACGTAGGTACTCATCTGTCCACTCACCTTCAATTGCTTTGCACCTCTCATCTAACCCTCTTAGTACCTGCCCCATGAAGTCGGTCGGTTGAACAAAAGGCTGCGCAGATTCTTGATCTGCCATTGGAAGTGGTACATCAAAGCATTGGTTTCAGGTCGTTTTTACGGGGTCGAATCCTCGTGTATGTCTATAATTCTGCTGAGCGAAAAACAATGTGCCAGTGAGTATCTATCACGTACATAAAATTGTGCTTCTCTTTGCATGCAATCCTCGAGTGTGACATCTTAACTTACGCAGATTGCCAGCCGCCTTGTCGTCTTAGAATGCAATGAGTCACTTACGTTGTGGGTTAAGTCAAGTTTTTTCTATAATTTAGGGGTGTCTGTATTTATTTGATGCATGCTTAACAGGACCTTATTCGACATCGTAGCTGCGCAGATGCAGTCTGACTTGGTAAATCCGATTCGCAAGAAGTTGTGGGTAGTCTCTTGATGAAAGGTCACTCGAGAATATTCTTAGATTGTGTTTATAGGATCGGAACAAAGATGACTGAAGTGGACACTTGTATACACGCTACCGACAGTCGGAGGTTCGTTGAAAGTAGTCGCATCATTTCCACAGTTAACAAAACAAACCCTACCTTAAGATGAGCCGCTGCAGAATCGGATGGCCTTCTCGAAAGGATTCCTGCGGCGTATCACTTGCGCTGATCATCGATACTACCTTCTTGAATAAGGTTCGTTGACAATCCACATATAGCATAACACAAAAGACAACTGGTTGCTTCAAACGTCTATTGTCTAGACCAGCTGGACTGTCCAACTCTTGCGAATATTCCAGAGTCCAGACCATCCGAAGTAGCCCTTCTTCTGTAGGACCTGAAAACTGTCGAGCTTGAGCTCGTCTCCTTGGATGTTCTCAGCTACCTGACTTCCTGACTCTGTGTTATATCAAACGTACTCCTTCGGCGATGCTATTTCCGGCTGTCTGTCTTGTCTTGTCTGGTGCATGAACGACATATACAGATTTCGTACCCTCTTCTCCTGCTCAGCGTGTATTATCATCTGCCCACCACATAACCGTACTCTTTTAGAATTAGGAAGCTGGAGTCGCACACCCGATCGAATACTTCCCGTATTCATTATTCCGGTAGAACCGTTGCCATTACGCCCAATATGTTTCCCTGCATGGATGTGGGCAATATTTGGATACAGGCCATGCGTCAGGAACTCTCCATGGTCGTGTGATCCTTTCTATTTACCCCAGCGCATCGCTTCATCCTTAGCCGACTAACAGGGGGCTTTCGTAGATCGTACAGAAATACGTAGAATTCGTTATTTTCCCGGTAATTGTATGGGATCAGCAAGCCATTTTCGTTCCTGGTCCTTCATAACCAAATCTAGAATTACATGGAAGAACGCATCAAGTTCGTTGTTGGGCTTCTACCGACTCGTGTCTCACGCTCCTTCTCTCTAGGCCATCACCTTTCCTCAACTGCAACGCCACATCCTAGCACTACCACCCAACCAACACATTTCACTATCTTGGATTGTGTGTCCACCGAAACCCACTCTCGCATCCTATGCCCATTCAGAAGGGTGTGGCCTGTGATATCATTCATATCCAGCTTGCGCCGTACAGCTTTTCGCTTTGTGCCGCCGGTGGGTCCTTCGCTCCGAAATCGTGTTCAAGGTCTCCCATCTACTATAGGACGACATTCTCATGCCTACCCGAAAACTGCTTACTGTTACGCTGACTCTTTGTACAATTTGCACGTCATGTTGGAAGTCGCTCCGGTTTCCTATCATCGAAGTCAACCTCGAGCCTTCATCTCACACGATACGATGTAACACGGACAGGCTGAGTGAATGGACAGTGCGATGAACCAGTGCACGCAGTCGCAGATCATGTTCTTTCGTCGCTTTGCCCTTCATATCATGCTTCGGTCGGCTACTCGATTACATCCTAAAGTTCTTTTATCATAGGTCTATTTGCATCAGAATGATGGATTTGTCAATTGGAACGAAACGTATCAGCAAAGCATGCATGTTCCTGCTGTCTCACAGCTATCTTGAAGGTCGTCATTGTTGGGAGACTCGGTCCCACAACCGTTACGAACGTTGACCATTCAGCGTATCGCTAGCAATGCAGTACATCCGTGTCGGTCATGCTACTTTAGATGACGCAGATCTCCAAACCCTTTCCCTACTCCTGATAGGTAACGGAAGCGCAGACACACGCTTTACTACCGATTGCAAGCAAACGGCCCTACGAAAGGCGTATGAGTGGACCAGTAGATTGGAATGGAAAATATTCACACGTGTACCAATTATTTTTACTAAATATCTGTATAGATTTAGTCACAGGTTGGCACAAGACCTGCAGGTAGTCGGTCATGGCCTACGCCAGGGCGGCGACGACAGAAAAGGGTCATTGGCGGGCGCGCTTAGGTGCGCCTGTCCCCAGAAAGAACAACACGCGGCATGCACGAGTCGATATTAACGTTCTGGAAATCGACGCGTTTGCTTCTGCTTTTTCCGAAAAATAACAACGCGGCAATCATTGTTCGTTTACCTCAACAACACCAAAAAGATATCTGGCCAGGTTCGCTGTCTTCCTTTCATTGGGTCAATGTGACCCGAGGTAGGCAGGAGGCCGTAATACCTTACACGCACCTAAGCGTTCGGAGTTTACGGACGGCAATATGAACATATGGCCCAAATGTGGTCGGTTACGGTCGGTATCTCTGGAACCCATCGTGTTGTGGGCGTTGGTTCCCGGTCTTGCTCAAACCCATCATTCGGGGGTGTATCTTTAATTTCACAATTGGACTGAGCCCAGAATCTAGAACACCGTGCGTAACCCCTCCCCCATTCTGGAACACCTGAACAGCATCTGACAGTTATCACTTTTAGGTATATAAGACCATAGCTGAAACATCCCGACTTCTCCACTGCAGTCTGACCGTCGGTACGCTATCTAGCATACCGTTAGCTGTCACTTTACTCTGCTAGTGATATATCCCTCTCGACGATACCCATTGATTACGACCCACTCTTACGACCTTCACAATGCCTTCTGTTTTTCGCAGTATCTTTGGTGGTTCCAACCATAACCAACCTTCAACTAACTCACGATCCTCATCCAAGTCTCACAGTCGTTCTCATTCTGGCTCCAACATATATGCAACTACACCTCCCACTTCTCGTCCCACCACTCAGCGAAGTCAAAGCTATTCTGCGTCTCGAACAGCTGCACCTTCGCCCCTTCGATATGCAACAGGCACCAGCGATACACGAACAGCATATGGTTATGGTCGCCGTGCACCTAGCTACAGCACCAGTACTCCCTCAGAACCTCGCCCACAAGTTCTCCGTAGAGCGAGTCATAACTCACGTGAGGCAGGTAAGGAACCTTTTCCATTCATGTCTTTCGTTGAAGCCAGCATGCTAACCTCGTAGACAGGGTCCCATATGCATACGTCGTCTCATCACACACCCACGAGCTCCCGTTCTAACTCAAATTCATCTGTGTTCACGGGAATGGGCTCTGTTCCTTTCGTATCTTCCCACTCCGAGGGGGGACATCACCCAAAACATCCAAGTGTCCGACCTCCCTTGAGGTCAAATCATACATGGCACCCCGGCAGTAGTGCAGGGAGTGCCTCGTCTCGTACGTAACATTGTCTATCAATCTCCACTTTTGCTAACACAATTTGGATTATAGTCGGCTCTTCACATGCTCATTCGGCGTATTCACACGGCTCATACGCACAACCTCGTCAAGGACCTCTTCATATGCATCCCCTTCTCGCTCACTCGCGTCTTCATCGTGCCCCTATTAGTTACGATGTTATGTTCACACCCTCGGCTCGCAGTGTCACTGACCGCGCAACACATTCACCTATCCCGTCTGTAACGTTGTCACAACCAGCGACAGATCCCCCCATCTCGTCATCCTCTCGTCTTATGCTGCGTTCGCATAAGTTTCCCTGGCCCGTCGTCGTCGGACCTTCTGGTCCTAGGTTCACTATCGGTCCTTCAAAGCACAGTCAAAGCAATGCAAACATTATCACAAACCTGGACGTGCTCTATGCTGTACACACGACCCTCTTAACTCCCGTCACACCTGAAGAATGGGAATCCTTGGGTCATGGAAGCAAGGCGCAGAGGAAAGTCACTAAGGCATACGAGAAGCGATGTACTCGTATGGGCGGTGGTTGGGAAGGCGGTGTGAGGAGAATTGACTGGCTGGGCTCAAAAACCAAGCTAGTCGGTGTTGAAGTTGATAAGAGTTCGGGACGCGGTGGTGTCGGAAAGTTGGTCTTTTCCAGGCCGTAAAGAGACAACTATATGTCTCTTTTTTATACACTGTAAGCACTACATATCATGGACACGTTTGTTTTGGGTTCTGTTGGCTTGTTATTGTCGTCGTCGCCTCGCCGTGCGAGTGTATTCTAAAATTGTCTACATTTTCCAATTGCTTTGGATTCGCATTTTTCTCACCTCACTTATTCCTTCAAAACTGTACTATTACGCGGACACTTTGCCTGCGACTGGTGTACCTTACTGTATTTTACTCACATGCCCTTATGTTGTATGCACAATATGACCCTTTTCATCGTCGTATAACTTACTTTGAACGTATTATGAGGTCAATACCGTGACTTATTGCCAACACACGTTATGCAATATCATTAGGACCTGAATGTTGTCTCAATGTTTTTGCAGAGTAATCGTAGTACTGACAAAGGAGAAAGAACCATATCCCGTTTAGCTCAGCTGGTAGAGCGCGTCACTAGTACTTATAGTAATGACGAGGTCAGTCGTTCAAGTCGGCTAATGGGAACTCATATTTTTGTTTTTTTATATCCTCACTACCATCGTCGAGATACTCTTAACATTAATCACTTATGGGATATACACGACAGTACGGTGACGACACAATCACGAAAGGGATTTTCCCGCTTCATATTATGATATTAGCATGTGTACTCATAAAGGTTCCCTCGAACTGGGAAGTGAAGTTTAATGCTTGAATGCTTGAAGTATGCCGGACTGTGGCTTAGTCGCGTGCGATAACCTAGAGCTGTTCCATAGAATGTCAGAAGCTCATCTACAGTGGTCATTTGGTAGGATCTCCGAAAGAAGTTGACGTGAAATTAAAAGCACGATACCAACCGGCATCTTGGCGTGGTAAACCATAGATTGAATAGACAGCGATTCAGAGCCTCGCAGATCATAAGCACGACACAACGTGTTGGAAAGGTGATAAGCAAGTAATATTGAGTACAGTAACGTATGCAGCGCGACCAATATACTAAACAGTACAACGATATTCCATCCAATCCACAGAAAACAAACAAATAACCTAAGTATAGACGACAGCGAGAGAGCAGGGAGGGGTAGCGAGGCACAGCGGGGAAAAGGAGCGATACAAGTACACATGATGACGGTTTTGGAGCTGGGTTAGAGGGTGGGGTTATGTCAGGGAAATGTAAGAAAGTGATACAGTATGAGTCTGATGATACAACAGAATAGTGCAGAGATAAGTTAGACTGTTCACGGTCAGGTCCTTCGGGGACCAGTACCAAGTCACTTTGGGATCCGTCCATTGTTGGAGCCAGAATACGTCTGAGGAATCCATTTTACGGGTAGGGTATGAAACCAAGTTGCAAATCGCAAAGTGGATCTTGACGTGAGAAGACACGAGCATCACGAGAGGATCAGAGCAGCACTGGAGGGGCCAGTGGGATGAAGCCCAACAAACATGAAGCGTCCACCAAGCATGGATATGCGCTGAGTGCCTTCAGGTACGTGGGTCCTAAGCATGGCCATTTCTTGGGAGGTCAAGGCGAGTGAAAGACCTTTTCTCACACCTTCCAGAATATCTCTAACAGTTAGAGCACGGGATGTGATAGGGATATCTATGCAGAATACACCGTGCACAATGGTAAATTGCTTAGGTACTTGTCCGCTTTTCCAGTCGATAGCCACAGCGTCAATTCCATACGCTCCTCCTTGCAGATACTCGGGTCCGTAGCGAACATCATATCGCAGTTGGGTAGGTACAGCGAGGAGGGCATGTAATTGGAAGGAAGGCTGACCGGCGAATGCGAGTGGTTTGTACGAGTTAGGTGGTGTAGCATAACCAACTACTATAGACAAGTTAATTCCAAAGCACTCATTCTAATTCTATCAACCTACCCGGGCTGTTTACTAGGGTGGCTGACGAAGCGAACGAGTTGGGGCTTCCCACCAGAGTAGTCCCATTACTTGGGGTCGGAGAGGAAGGTTGTTGATGATGACTGGGGTAGGCGGGCATGGCGGAATGAGGTTCCCGTAGCGGCGAGGGGGACAAATGGAGATATGTGAGGCGGGCTGGAGGCGGGGGAGGGCGGGGGAGGGCGGGGCTGAGCGTCGGTGCTGGCCATCTTGGGGCCGCCGACAGCCATTATATAGGCGGGCTGTTTGCTTCGACCCAAGCATTGTCAACAAAGCCCGACAATCATGTTTGCACACCCCAAAATACGGGGGCCACATATTGCCGCCACCCGACGTCGATGAGCACGATGATGAATGCCATAGATAGGGTCTTAGACGCCTGCGAGGCGCACCTCGTGAGTGTCGGTGTTGCCGTATATGGTAATATAGCGCCATCTCGGTGCCCGACGCTTTCCAAATTTGGAAGAAGACATGCGCTTCATCACGCACGATGGTAACGATAACGAGCACGCCCCTTCCATCGTTGATATCACAACTTCTAGTCCCGACTTTTGCTTCTCGAATTTCATCTGATTGATTATCCAGCACAATGGTCCGGGGGCCCGCCAGCCAGACGGCGCACGGCGTGGGGGGCGGGGCGATAGCGATGTATTGTCCGGTCGTCGGTGTGCCCTACAGGTCTTCTTAGAACACTGGAGTGTGACTCAGAGTGAATTGAGATCAAAATGGAATGTCAAAATGAATTTGACCATCTCGATGTTGACGGGTATGAACAGAACGACAGGCAGGTCCGGACTCTCGTCATCAGCCTTCGGTGAACTTCAATTTAACGATCACTCAAGCTTACCATCAGCTTAATCGATAGCTGAGGATAACCTGTGTCACTCCAGGCCATCTTACTAGACGTAGTGTTGTAGTGAGTTACGTGGAGGTATGGGTACACGAGACATACTGCGTTTCGAGCTGTGTTTAGTACACCATTATGAGAAACACTCGTCTGGCTTTGTATTACGGAAGTAGTCTCAGAATAAGTTGCGACTAAAATGAGCTTTACAGGTAAGATAATAAGTTACTGGATAGAGAATCGTCCACAAAATCAAAGAGGGTCTTCGGCTAGAAGTAACTCGTCAACGGTATTATCCCAGTTAACGTCCTTTCCAGAGCCAATCCCCGCTTTCCTGCTCGAACGAGCACCTCTGTTCTTTCCCTGGCCAGAAGCGGGTCCGGCCTTGGATTTTCGACCTGAAGCTCGGTGTCCCAGGTGTTTAACCTCAGCAAAGTCGGAGGTTGCTTGAGCACGAAGCCAGGCCGCATTGTTCGCCCGATGCATAAGACAATCCGGTTGTTCGTAACTTTCCAGGGTACCTCCACAGTCTATGCCATCGTTCACCTTCATGGGGGCACCGTCCTTCCACAAGGACCCGCCGTTGGTCTTCTCTAGAACCTGTGTAATATCTAGGCTCTCGCCAGGTGGGATGGGAACTAGTTGTGACGGTGTGACGCAGGGCATGTCGACCTCCTTGCGCAGGACGTGATCAACATCAACTGCAGAGAAGAAAGCGACTCCTTGAGGAAGGTCATCCATGCCAAGTTTGTAAGAGAACAAGCTGCGCGTCCAAACGTTCGCAATCTGGAGGGCTAGGGCAGCACGATATCGATCTTTGGACTTGACCAAGTACCGCAACTCATCATGGACAGAGATGAGATAACGAGCTTGAATGTTATATTTACGAATGAGATAGTCCATAGAGACGATGAGCAAATGGAGATAATCTACGCCGGATGATTGAACGACCCAATTGATTCGAGAGGTCATGTAATCCGAGCCAAACTCCGTCGGAAGATACTCCTTCGAGAGTGCGTAGGTTATACCACAGCCTAGGGCAGGTGTCTGGGGCTTGTCGGAAAGGGCAATTTCTTCTAGTTTGTTGAACACGTAACTTTCCGTGCCACCAAACCAGAACTTGCGATTGAACAAATCGCTTCTGTGTGTGTTCTTCCCCTTAGTCGATGCGTAGAGGTTTTCCGCCAACTTCTGAGCCTGTTCGGGAAGCATCCCAGCATTCGATTGTAAGAGTAATAAGATGGCATGCTTCATTCCCGCACCATAGATACGGGAATAGTTGAAGACTTTTGCTTGGTCTCGAGAAATACCGAGGATGTTTGCGGTTTTGGAATGGAGATCCGTACCCGCAGCCTTGGTACCTTCCAGGGTCATCCATCCGATAGCAGTAGCACCATGCAAGCCGAACTGGGCATCACCCATAGCACTCGAGATCCAAAGCTCCTCTGAGTCAACATCGGCGCCAACGATAGCATAACCTTCTGGAGCGCGAACCATAGCTTTCAGCTCCGAACCAACACGATTCTTTTTGGCGTTACTAGCGGTGAGCCAAGTCTTCTCAATAGCTCGGCGAGTCACTGTCCCCATCGTGATCACCTGAGGTATGATGATCCCCCATTTTGCATTTTCTCCGGTTTCTGTGTTAGGGATCGACATATTGAGGCGCTCGTCCTGCCAAATAACCATCTGCTTCATGACTCGGTCTCTGGCACTGATCCAATAGCTACATTGCGCGTTCATGTCAAGAGCATCCTTGGCCTCGTCGCCGGGACTGGTCAAAGTACCATCCTGAGCGAACTTGATGAAAGTCTTGCCCAAAGGACTGCCGACATTTGCTTTCTCCCCGTCTTTATGAGGCAGTTTGTAGAAAATGTGGCCACCATGCGACACCATCTCCTGTAGTCGCGCATCCGCGGGATCGTAGAAGGTTAGTGGCGTCTGACGAGTTTTGTAATCTGTACCGGGGGATACTCGGAACGTCCAACCATGTTCTCTTGAATGATAGAGCGGCCAACCTTGCCAGGATAGTTTGAGAAGCAGAGGGGCGAAGCGATTTCGGACAGTCAAATCCAATGTCCCCGGGAGCATATCTTTCTTCGGCTTTGCAAGATCCCAATACCATTTGGGCCAATAAATCGATGGCGGTTTAGCTGGTTGGGGTTTCTTCTTCGGTTTCACGGGTTTAATTTGACTGTCAAGTTGGGTACCATCCGTAAGAGGAGACTTTGTGGGCTTCCAAGAAAGTTGTCTTAGCCATGGATCTAGCTCGACTTCCGCTAGGCTTGTCCGAGTGATGTCTGCAGCCAGTCCGAGGATTTGTTGAGCGACAGCGGGAGATTGGTCACCTGAAGCGACGGCAGTGGCGAGTTCGGGCTGATTAGATTGTAGCCATCCGGATTTAAGATTCGGGACGCCGTGTGAAGCACCGAGAAGTGTTACCACTTTACTGGTTGCTGTCGGAGGACGAATAATTGCACCATCCTTTACAAAATGCCAGCGCTCCGACACTGAATACTGAACGGGGCCACCTTCATGAGAAAGACGAAGGAGGTAAGGTAGGATACGATTGACGACCGTTACAGACAAGGGTCCAGAAACGAGAATATCTTTGTACCATGCGGGTACTCGCTCAACACCGGTCATTCTGGTAGGGACCGAGCTCAGCTGAGGCTGTTGCTCGACATCGCAGGGAACCATCTACACGGTTTCACCATCAGTTTAGATTTAGGCTCATGGGAAGTGTGGGGAATAACCTACCTCAGGAGGGTAGACTCCTCTAG